GTTTCAGGCCGTGCCCTCTCATCCTGTCACCGGTTGCCCTCCGCTGTGTTGTGCTTCCTCTGGGGAGGACGGACAGGACAGGCGACCAGCAAGAATTCCATTCCATACACGAGGAGTCTCCCCTCTCTGCGTGGAAACGCAGTTCCAGGCAAGCCTAGATGGGATATTAAAAAAGATTTTTCTAGGTTGATCGCAGGGTCTGATTTTTGTTTATGCATCTAAAGGAGAAACCGGCTCAGCTCTTGGCCAACCAAGCGCCTTGGCTAGATGACCTGATGTCCTTTCACCAGTTTTGTGAATTTTTTAGCAGTTACATGCTTTGCCCCTCTGCCTTCTATTCCTTCTCCTTCCCCAAAGCGTGGGGCTGGTAGATGCCTGCCACACTGTTGCAAGAAAATCTGGGAAAATTGTGGCAAAGCGTTGCTTCACAGCCGTCTCACGTACTGGTTTTGATGGAGACTGGAAGTACGTTGAGCAAAAACCCAGCGCGCTCTGTTGGAGAGGAGGAAATCTGGTGGAGGACCTGGGCAGCTGATGGCCAGCATGAGGGTTTGGGCCGTGCTTGTGCTACCTGGGGTGAAGAGGAACAAGGCAAGGATGTATGAGGGTGATCAAGGGACTTGAACATCTCTCCTGTAAAGACAGATTGAGAGAACTGGGGCTGTTTAGTCTTGAGAAGAGATGGCTGGAAGGGAATCTTATTAATATGTAAAAATACCTGAGGAATGGGGGTCAAGAGGAAGGTGCCAGTCTCTTCACAGTGGTGCCCAGTAATAGGACAAGGAATAACGGGTGTAAGTTAGTACACAGGAAGTTCCACCTCAACAGGAGGAGAAACTTCTTCCCTGTGCGGGTGCCAGAGCCCTGGCCCAGGCTGCCCAGAGAGGGTGTGGAGTCTCCTGCTCTGGAGACTTTCCAACCCGCCTGGACGCGTTCCTTTGTGGGTGATCCTGCTCTGGCAGGGGGTTGGACTAGAAGATCTCTAGACATCCCTTTCAACCCCCAACATTCTATGATTCTACGTCATATTCAGTATAAAGCTAAAGCATCACAGGAGTTAAATTCTTCTTCAATGACTGATGTCCAAGCAGAGCTCTGTCTGATCTCCCACTTTTGATCCTAACCCCGAGTCCCCACATCCAGCCCCCATGCCCAGTTCCCCTCTGCCATTGAGCCCGGGGCTGCCCAGGTGCCACCTGCTCTGCAGCATCAGTAGGGACTCGTATTGGGAAAGAATCTGGGTTCGATACTGGTTTTGTATATATCTGTATATTTTTCATTATTTCCTTGTTATTTCAGTTATTGCTTTATTAAAGCTGGTTTAGTTTTCTTTTCCAAACCAGAATTCTCTCGGCCTCATTCCCTTCCCCTTCAGGGAGGAAGGGTTAGAGAGCATCTGTCACCTCTAACCCTCACCAGATAAATTGTTGCCCAGTGTGAGGCAAGAATCAGACTGATATATTCCCCAAATAGTTTGAATTCTAGCTTGCACCATTAAGAGAGTCTCAGATCTTTTCCCAAAGGCTTGGAAATCAACACACTGGAATTGTTCAAGGCCAGGTTGGATGGGACTTTGAGCAACCTAATCTAACAAAACAAGTCCCTGCCCATGGTGGAGAGGTTGGAGCTAGATGATCTTTGTCAGTCCCTTCCCGTCTGAGCCATTTTAATAAATTTATGACACCACAGCATGTGCTTGCAGAGGGACAGAGCGTGAGCGTAGGCACCAGAGCAGCCAGAAATTTGGAAACATGGGGGAGAACCACCATCCCCAGTGCACTTCCCTTCAACGGGGCATTTCATGGGTGGGCAAAGACAAGAGGCCCTACAGAACAGCTCACATCCCAAATTTAGTAACAGCCATTTGTGTTTTGACATCTGCGCTGAATTAACCAAGTAATTCACACTTTGGTATTAGGCTTTAATATTGTATGTAGGTTAACTGCCTCAATAAACACTTTCATGTGATGTTTGAATGAATCATACCCTATTTTGCACTGTGACTCGCTTGCACTCAAGAAGTGCTCTTTGCTGAAAACTACCACTTCTACGGATTTATTCTTTTATTCCCAGACTTTTATTCTCAGACTTTTAAATCCATTTTGGCTACATCTGATTTATGAGTTCCCCCGAACAGGTGGCTTTTCTTATCTGCCTGCATGGAGGCTGTAAAACATGCCCCCACTTCTGTGTCTTTGCCTATTGAGCCTTATTCCCAATTGTAGAGCTGCATCGAATGATACCATGTAAGGATCTGGACCAACTCCCAAAGCTTTGCAAGACGGGACACCATTCAATAAAGCACGAAACAGCATTCCAGAAGGTTGCCATTGGAGTAGGGACTGGTCGTGCTTTATTTACAAAATCCAGAGATTTGTACACAACAATCTACGGGACAGCATGGGGCTGGTATCGGGAGGATAAAGGACTTTTTTTATGCCAGCAAGTAGTCAGCTCAGTTCCGTGGGGAACCTGCTTCCTTTTTGACTGAAGAAGCCACCAGGCCCCTCCAGGAAGGAAAAGAGGAAAAGCAGCAGCAATAGCCAACCCAGGCTGATGTTGCGGTTTTGGTTATCGTTGAGGTGTGGGAACACAAGTGATCAGTGAAGGAAGAAAGAGGAGACCAGCAGGGTTTTGGCATGCCACGAAGGGCCATCCTGCCTGGTTCTTTACTTCCAGCGCCCACCAACCTTGCCCTTGGCTCCTGCCTTCTTGCTGCTACAATACAAAAACAAGAAAGAAAAACGTGTCAGCGTGATGGAAACAGCAGAGCTCTACGACTGCTGCGCATTTCTGATTCTTATATTGGGTTCGAGCAATTCTCACATATTGGGCACACCTGCCATAGAGCACATCCTGAGAAATATGTCAATATTGTGGAAAGAAATTCCTCCTCAGGCCCTTAGTGGAAGGGCAGGATGTGTGTGCCTCAAGGAGGAGGACATTTCCAGATTCTGGCATTATCAGGACAGAAGTCCAGGTGGTCTCAAAACTAAACGGCAAGCCTATCCAGCCACAGACTGGATGTTTCCCAAATTCACATCTGCCGTGATCTGGATTTTAGGATTTAGAGCTGTTTCTGGAGAAAACATCCTCGTTATCAGGGAGTTCTGGTCAAATTCCCCAGACACTCTAATCATCTAGCAGTGGAGGCAAAAAGCTGAGCAGTATTTTAAATACACCTTAGAACTGCTTTGCTCTAGCTCTGCTTTATATCATGAGAGCCTCCAAAACAGTCCAAACAATTTCTTAGACCTCCCTTTATACCAGTATCCTGGTTTTGCTCGTGGCGTGTGGGGGAGCAATCTGCTTCCACTCCCCACATAAAGCACCAGAGGCAAAGTCTCCAAACAGTATCTTCTTGCACACAGAAGGGCAATCCTGCATGCAAGCCACTTACCTTTTCACTGAGAAGCACTCACACCTGGACACCGGGCATGAAGTTAGTCGAGTTAGATTCCACACCGGCTCCTGTAGGCACCACCCAACCTTTCCATCTCACACGATGACGAGGCTGCTTCTTGAACCAAAGCACATGCAAACTGGGGGGTAGCTCTCTGACGTGGCAGAGCGTGAGGTTGGAGGGACAAGCACAAGGTGGTGGCGCCTTGCTTTCACCAGAACCACCAGTTCCTCCAAGGAGCAGGGGAAAAAAACGTGGACGACACAGCGGGGAGATTTTTGCGGTGCTGCCCCATGGGTTGGTTCAAGAGCGCCAGCCACGTTTACAGATGTAGCACAGTGACACAGACGTACATATAGTGGATACTTTACCTTTTGACCAAGCTAGACTTGGACTATTGGAAACAATGACCTTTTACATGCGAGAGCAGAGCGTTTTCTGCTTATCTTAAATTCATCCCAGTGTCCCTTTTGCCAGCCCTTCTGTAGGCTCAAAATCCAGTATAGGAACTGCCTAGCTCCTCAAATGAAGGCAGAGCCCTTTTATCTCCACAAGTGCCTGTGATGGTTGATGTTATGCCTAACCTTTAGAGTGTGCTTAAGGAGCTTTAACAAAGTTTGAAGCAAAAAGATCACTTGATCCTCTTGTAACACATTAGCAGGCGTTGCTTCGGAATGATGCAGTCCGACGTGGATAGAAATTTAAGTACACAAATCTCACGAGCTCTGGGCTTCTTGGCGCAACCCTTTTAAATGATGTTCTGGGAGATTATTACGTCTTTTGGGGTAGCAAGCACGCCTTAATGGTACAGCCTGTTGTGGGTGGTGCCCCTCAGAAGAGCAGCGACACCCATACATACCACGGCATCCTTCTGCAGCTGCACATTCTGCCGAGGTTTGTCAGCCTACAGCTCTGTCCAGAAAATGCCACGGGAAGGTCAAGCCTTATGTTTGGCATCTGCGGACAACTGAGCCTCTGGTGTTACATTCATCTGGTAAGGCAGGGTGGCTTGGGGAAGTGGAAGATGTCAAAGACCACCACTTCATTCCTGGCATGACTTTGCTAAGAAGATACAGAAGCACAGCGAAGATCAAATCCCACGACCAGAGAGCTTCCCTGCAGTTCCTTCTCTGTGTCTGTTTGTTTTGCACATGCCCTAGCCCTTATCTCTCCTAAGTTCACTGTGAAGACCTAGAATAGTTAAAGACATGAGGCTCAAAAAAACCCTAATGAAATACAAGTCTTGTGGGAAGGGAAGTGGGAGAGAGATGATGAGGGGAAAGAACTCACAGCAGTAATCCCGTGATGTTAGTCTTGTTACACACCATTCTTTACAACCTTAGCAACCACTTGTTTACCCTCTGTAAACAATGGTTGTACGTCCTCAAGTATTCAAAGCACCTCAGTCAGGTGTTTGAAAACTCCAGCAATAAGCAGGTGGAAATTTTGCAGACATGGTGTGAAGAAACATGATTTTTTTTCTTCTTGTTAGCTGTTACATTCACTTCAGTTTCCCCTTCATTTTCTCAACATGAGGCAGGATGGGGGTTGCCCTTCCATCTCTAGCCTCATTTTGTTGCAACAAGAAAATGCTGGTGTGGGAGGCTGAAGTGACTACTTTGAACACTGGGAAGATATCCCCAAGCCAAGAGCTTGGAAGGGGATATTAGGTACTTACTGCTTCTGAGCCTGATCGATCCGGTTCCTGAAGGTGATAATCTGCAAACAACATATATGACCAGGGTTTTTAGAGATAAAGAGACCTTATTCCCTCAGAGAGAGGGGAGTTTTACCTGCTGAAGTGCTGGAAACAGGTGCCTATGGTGAGGAGTAACACTTCCTTTGAAATAAAAGCTCACCTGTGCTTGGAGAGAAATGTTGCTCCTTGGCAATAAATCTGCAAGCCAATTTCAAGGGAAAGAAAAGCTAGAATTTTATAATCCTCATTAGAAGAGTTCCTGTGCATACAAATTAATCTCATACATCAAACTGCAGGCAAGCGAACCAGAATGAACATCACCCTGGCCAGCTGGAAAGTTCTTGGATGACTTCACCGCCTGTAGGTATCAACCTCACCTTCTCACTCTTCCACTACTCCTCTGTATTAGGAGGTCTGTAAGCACAAAGAGCTTCAGTGGTCTTTGGATGGGGACCTCAAGAATGGAAGATGGGTGTCACGTTCTGCTGGAGTACCTTTGCTGGCTGGTGGAGCAGGAGGGGAGGAGCTTACAACAGCCACTGCCTTCCCAGCCACTCCTCTAATGAGAGAAGAGGACTTTTAAAGGGACTGAAGAAGAAAATATTCAAGGAGAGCTTCAGCAACCATAGAGGTTGCTGGGTGGGCTCTGACCACCTTCACACGCTCTGCTGACAACTGAAAACCACTAGAGAGTCTGTCCTGTAAGACCGAGGGTCTCTTTGTTTAGCCGTGGGTAAACTGCATGTTTCAGTCTGATGCTGGGGAAAGCAAACACCTACCTTGCACGGGATGAGCACCTTAGAGCCTGACTTAGCACCTCAGTCCTGGCCTATAGCCCTGGGCTTGCTACTGAAATCCTGGGACTCTTCCAGCTCCGGTACTGGAAAAGCCCACAAGAACTAGGGTGTGATAAAGAGTCCTTTTTTGCCCCTTCACCATCTCTTCTGTGACTAAGTCAGGGTTCTCCCTCGTTTTCCTGGGGTGGAAAAATGCACTTCCCAAGATGCATGCTTTGCTTGTGCTTTGGGTGTAATTCAAAGTTCTCCCCTGGCTCTGCAGGTCCAAGAACTGATGACCCAACATTTGTGTATATATAAAGTGGAGCTCGACGTTCCCCGTGTGCAAAACAAGAAAAAGAGAAATCATACATTCAGGCTGGCCCAACAACCGGTATTTTCCAACTTGTGTCTTTCCATAGCAAACAGAAACAAAATAAGAGACTAAAACATTGGCAGGAACAGGACAACACAAGGAAGGAAAGACCAGCAGATCACCTGCTTTTGTACTTACTTATGGAAGTTATAACATCTGCTGCAGTGGCTTAAATAATTTTTTTGCAAATCGGCTATTTTTCCAAAGTGTGGAGGAGAACCAGCTGTCTTCAGTTTGACCCAAGGACTTAACACTTACCTTCAGCAATAGCGACTATAACACTCACTCTCCAGTGAAGCACCAAAGAGCAACAGACACTTGAGCTAAAGAACAGCTCCACTCCTGTGTGTCCCAGCTCCTTCCTTTGTCTCTCCCTTCCATCCTTGCTTGTGTCTCCTTCATTCCCTTTGCTTTTTTCACTTTCTTCTTGCTTTCTTTTCCTACCATCTCCCTTTTGCTCTTCCACTTCTCCTATCCGTGCATTTTCCTTCCACTTGGCTCATTCTTTGTACTTCCCTTACTTTTCCTCAGCAGCCGTCCGTCTATTTCTTTTTTGCAGAGGTTTCATTGCCATAGCACGTACGTCTCCCCTGGCTTTTCCTCACTCAATTGACCTGTTATCCTTAAGCTAGCCCTGTCCAATATTTTGGATCCGGATAAGCACAAGGAGGAGAATCTTTCCAAACCCCACACTATTCTTTTTCCTCCATGTGTTCCAGGTGCATCAGGGTGACTCCCCCATGCACCCAGTACCAGAGGTTTGCATAGAGAGTTATTTTAGAGACGGTCTGAGTGAGCTGCGGGCTCCATTCTTCAGCCACTTTCCCTGTCGGCCCCTGGCTCTTTTGCTAAATTGCCACTGGACCTCTTTTCAAAGAACGGAAAAGGGAGAGAAAAAGGAAGTGAAGGGAGAAACAGAAGATCCAGTTTTCTCATTTCTCTCTGCATTTGGAGCCAAATGCCAGTTTCTCTCTAGCACCTGGCCCCTGACCATGCAGGCAGGCTCATGCATTTGGTAGCCTTTGCTGCTGCTGTTACACAGGCAAGTTCATTGTACTTACAACTTGGAAAGCTCCTGCAGCCTGCAACGCATTGTTAAAATCTAAGAGAGATTGAGATAGTTACATTGGTGTTGCTCATTCCCTGTCAGCACGTGTCTGTGTGATTGGGAATTACGAGGAGAGTGAAACGGAGAGACATCCAGTAGGATTTCTCAGGCACTGAAACCTGACATAGGTGGATGCAGCCCTGACCTATGACTGTTTGTGAAGGAAACACGTCCCCTTTCTGTCACCATACGACACTTCAGTCAGATGCTCCTGTCTGGAGACGGTTTTGGGTGACTCCAGACAGCTCAGTCCACAGGGAATCCATCTGGGATTGGAATAAAACTTACAACGTTCCAGTGTGAAATCAAAGAGGGATTTAAATGTATTACTTTGCAATGGAGAGGAGTGAGAATTACTGAATTTTCAGGTCACAGTTACCTATTGATACACAAGAATGAACAAGATGCGTTTGAGCAGAGGGTGGGGATTCCATTTCCCATTGGGTTTGCCTTTCCATGGGGCACTGAAAACCTTGAGAGAGGTCAATTCAATTTTAGCCTAAAATGTGAAATCCAGTCCAAGTATGTACGTTAGGGGAATGCAGTTCCAGGTGTCTTGCTGCTTAAATATTGCAAAAGGGCATTGAAGACCTGCGTGATGTCACCACATGGCTTTTGCCAGAGGAATCATGGAGCTTTTTACATTTTGGACCCAGTGCCATTAGCAAAATGGCTTCTCACCTCATATTTTTTCCTCTTGATCTGCTCCGTAAAGTCATACTTCTCAGTCTCCAGCTGGTATAACCAGTCCCACAGCTCCTTAGCCTTGTCCCTGTGTGTTTATGAGGAAAGGGAGATAAGAGAAAAACGTATTTGCTACAGTTGTCACATGACTAGTAATGGGGCTTCTTATGTCTTGTTTAATGAAGTTCACACATCTTCCTGGAAACCTTTTCCATTCTCTGAAAGATTCTCACCATTTTCAAGGTCACATTTTTCTCATCTTTTAGGCTTGGGCTCTTGTCACACACTAACCTATTTCCTCTAGATTTAATTTTCCTCCTAACTCTTAATGAAAAGAGTCCCAGGGCAATCACACAAGAAGGAATGAGAGCTCTGAAGGCCACTCAGATGAGCAGAGCAGCTGCCATTGTGCACTCTCATCTGTTTCAGGGCTCAGGTGAGCCGACTTTGTCTTTTAATCATCTGTGAACTCCGATGTCTGGAGTCCAGACTACTATCTGACAACTGCTGTGCACCCAAGCACTCAGGTCCCAAGCCTCCAGCCTCTTTGGAGATCCATACTCATATCCTAGCAGTTCTAACTCACCTTTGGGAATGCTACAGATACCACCCTGTAGGTTTGTTCAGCTGGTCTCAGAACTAGGTTTAAAGTTTGTGCCTAGTCCTGTAAATGACTAACCCTAACTAGCAGGAGAGGCTAACAGAGCTATGCCAGGAACGTAGCTAGATGTCTACTAAACCATTTCAACCATTCCCCACATCCCCATTTCCCCTCTATTCTACAGACCAGCACAACTTAACATTGTCCCATGATGACTTGCAAAGAAGGTCTTCTCCTCTATCACATTTTTTCACCAAGAGGAGACTCCAGGGCGGTAAGACCAAATTTCAGTGGATTACATTCAGTAAGTTAGGGTAAGCATGTTACCTCAGCTTGTCTTCATTAAGGTGGTCGATGTTCAAGGGCTTGCGCCTCTCTGCCAGGACCTTCTTCTTCGTCTCTCTAGCTGTTTGCTTCTTGCCTCTCTTCTGATCAGCCTGTGTTCAGAACATCAGTTAACGTCAGACTGCAGAAATTCATGCTGAATGAAAGGATTTCACTAATGGAGCATGTAAGACAAGCTGCTAGGGATCCAGAAGAAGGAAAATTGAGCTGTTTTCTCAGCTTGAAATAAAAACTGCTCCCAGTTACCCCTGTGGTCTAACGTTTCTATATTTCATCCACCAACCCATGCTTTTTTACCTTAGCCAGATAGCTGCTGTATGTGGCACCCATGGAGGACAGAGCCTTCTTCTTCTTGAGATCATCCTCAGCTTTTCTTTTGGCATCTTCTTCCTCTCTCCGTGCCTTTTCCTCCTGTGGAGTGTGACATACAGAAGCAAGTTACCCTAGGGGACACTCACAGCTTCCCCAGCAGCCAGCGTCACTGCAGAGAACGTGACCAGATAAGCACAGTGATGGGAATTGGCAGCTCCTGCTTCCTGCCCTTGCTTTAAGAGGATGGCCATTTCTTCTTCAAATTGAGACAGGCGGAACCTTTAGGGTTTTTTCTGACTCTAGAGATGTCCTCTAGTCTGATGTTGAGACAAGGAGAGAGATGCAAAGACACTCACCGCCAGCCTTGCCTGACGCTCCTTCTCCTTCTCAGCCCGAATTCTCTGTTGCTCTGCTCTTTCAGCTCTGCGCTTCTCCTGCAGGAAGCAGTGGCAGAGACACTCAGTCATCACTATGGCTTTATCTACCATGTGTAAAACAAGGGGCTGAGAGAGGGGACAGATGTGGGGGGAAGCCGTTTGGTGGTGACCTAAGCAGTCACTTCTGTACATGGCAATATTGTTTTTTGTCAAAGCCAGACAGTGAACTAATGGATCCAACTTCTCATCTACACAGGATCTCTTACTCTAGCACAGGGAAATGGCAGTACAAAGACTCACAATCCTCTCCTTGAGGGCAACAAGCTCTTCCTCTTCCTTCCTCCTGGCTTCAAAGTGGCTGTCAATCAAGGCCTGCAGTTCAATCAGGTCTTTGTTCTGCCTTTTCTTTTGGATGTCCTAGAAGAACAGCAAAATGTAGTAAGTAAACCCATGTTGCTCTAGGAACACACGCTGGACATTCGCAGCACCTTGCTGGGTGAGCAACAGAGAAACAAAAGCAGAAAGTGCTTGTGGATACCCATGGAAATCTATAGGATTTGCTTAAGTGGCTGTTGATGCAGATTAGAGAGGGTCAGAGACTCATCCAGGCGACAGTCAGGAGCCCAGAAGGGAACAGAATCCACATCTCTCATTCCCCTATACCATATTTTATACCTGGTTTTGCTTAGCCACCTATCTTTGCGTATACTTTCCTGCCTTCTCTTTGCCTTAGGATATGAATCTCACCTAGAATATGTTCCTGCATTTTGGGGCAAAGCAGATATTCTGTGCAGATTTGCAACATCTGAGGGTCTTTGTTACTCTATCAGCTTTCTAGGAAGGTATTTGGATCTCTGTTTATTATTAAAATTGTGTTGCCATTTCAGGTAGTGTTCCTCAGCAACGGATGCATATAGATGGGCTTTATTTATATAAGCCTGCAACTGTAAAACAATTTACAACAATGGGACAGGGGATCTGAGATCTCACTTTTTCCTTTCTTCATATATTGGCTTCAAAGATTCAAGGAGAAAAAAACCAAACCAAACCAAACCCCACGATTTTAGCTTGGTCACATTAATAACGAATGCTTCCATAGATCTTCAGGGAGCAGAGAAGCCTTTCACTGAAAAGAGGCAGCAAAGCATCCATGCTTTTGTCCTTGTCTTTATCCTCAGCAATATCCAACAGAGGAAGAGTTATGTGGGTTTGCACACATGTGTATGGCTCACATACAGACAGACAAACACAGCCAGTCTCAGGAATACTTACATCAAAATCTACTTTTTCACCCTCCGGTATTTTAGGAGCAGTTAGTCTGCAGAGAGGCAAAAACAAAACAAAAAAAAAAAAGGGAAAAAATATTTTCATCTTATAGAACAGGCAGCTTTTTAAATAGCGTGTTCTGCCCTGCCCTGCCCTGCGTAGCGATGCTGACAGGGAGGAATGTTGTTGGAGATACCAAGAGATGAAACAGAAACCAATGGAAAATCACTCCAGAACAGCACTAAGGACCATTGTCCTGCGTGGGAGGTCAGACAGGGCAGGGAGTTACCCCTAAACCCCTTTTTCATTCCCAAATCCTATGGCCATTCCCTGCCACACAGAAAGACGTCGGTCGGCCAGGCTGCTGGTGCAGTGCCGCACGCTCCGATCTGGGAAGCTGTTGGAATGGGAAGGGCAGGCACTGGGACCCAGAGCCAGAAGGTCCATGAGGAACCTTAATTAACCCAGCATTTGTCACCCTTCCTACTGTCAGTGATCCCAGATAGATGGGTAGTTTCCCAGCCCAGTCCTCTGGCTTTATCAGGAACTGGTCTTAACACCCTTCTGCTACAGCATCCTCTGGGAACAGCAGCCATCCTGGCAAAGGATGCAGGACCAGCTGATTGGTGCACAAGGAAGGGTTGGCTAAAGGTTTCTAGTGGCCATTTGCCCAACAGACAACCTGATGGCTTCTGCTAGATGAGAAAAATGATGCCAGGGTTTTGAAACTCCCTGCCCTTCGTACTTACTTTATTCTGGGCTTCTCCTCTGTGTTTGGAAACGGGGAGCAAAATAGGAAGGGAAAAAGAGGAAGAACAGTTAGAGCAACAGAGATCATGCCAGCCACTAAAGTAAAAGGAGGGAAGGGAAATTTAGGGGAAACATCCCAGAGAAACCGGTTAAATCTCAAGCGGTTCCAAAAGAAATGCACATGCTCACATAAAAATTTGAGAAAGTGGCTGGAAAAGGATTACTAAGATAATTAAAAGACAAAAGATGTGTAAAAAGAGATCAGAAACCGAACTTTCCTTTCCCATACCTACTTTAGTATTGAAATTTTGGGTGAAGACTTCTCTTATTTACTGAAACATACCTCAGCTGAGGCCTCTAGAGCAATGCTAACAAAATAAACGGCGTGTAATTAGAAAAGTGGTGCAGAGCGGTCATAGAAAAGAAGCCACAGATCACTCTCAAAGATAAATATCCGTAGCCAGCAGCATACTTATAAATTTCTCCAGTTATTTAATTGTTTCACTTTTCAAATAGCCAGCGAGCTTCTTAACACATTAGTTAAATTGGTTTTTTTTTATCCAGAGAGAGGAAAAGTAATGATGATTAACCAGTCTGTCAGGGATGTTATTCACATAGGATTCCCTTCCCTCGAGACATACCCAGATAATTTTCAGAAACATTGCTGTTTAGCTCAAAGCTGCTGGTTAGTGGCACTTCAGAGAGAGGGGGGAAATAAAATTAAAAAAAAGTAGATAGGAAATATCTGGGTTTGTGTGTTGTCCTTGGCTGCCAGGATCGACACCTGCCTGTCGATAACTGTGTGAATTTGGTTTCAGCTGCCACCAAATCAGCACTTTAAACTTAAGCACACCGACAAACAAGTGGGAAAAGAAACCAATAAGGTTAGTTGCTCTCGAAATAAGAAATTGTAGTTAGAATATTTAAACATACCTCCAGAAAACCAGAAAAGGGGGTAACAAAGGTATAGGAGCCTTTATTAAAAAAAAAACCAAACTAATAAATCTGTCCTTTGCAGTGCATGACCCAGCATTGGTCCATACTGTATGCACCAAAAGCAACCCGGGGGTGTGATTTATTTTGAAGTGCCCCTTCTTTCAAGACACCGAGTCAAGGAACTGGGCCAAAATTTGTTGACAAGCAGGAACTGCCATAACAAATTCCTGTTCCTGTGGTGGATTTTGACTGACGTTTTGGTCATTCTGCCCATGAACCATGGGGTCGTGGCAAAATCCCAACGTACAACCCTGCCAAAAGAAGGCAAGAGCCACTGGAAATCCAAGTTCACTGCCCTGGTGATTAGAGAGTCCCTGAGTTTCTGGTTTCCCAAAGGGTTAACTCACGGAGAGCACACACCACCATGAATCCAACCTTACTTTCTCCTGCCCAATCTATGAGATATTCTCACAGCACTCCCCCTCTCTGTGAATCCACCTGAACTGCCTTTGCTTCCTTCAGAAATCCCTATGCACCCTCCCTTAATCCCTCTTCTCAGAAGCAACACATCTAGCTCACATTGTGTCCTTGGGAAAAAAAAATAGAAAAAGTAAAAATCAATAAGCTATTAAAAATAAAGAGAAAGAAAGAGAAAAAAGAGGAGAGAAAGGGGCTCAGAAGGGTCCTCAGGGTATTACCCTAAATAAGAAAAAAAGCCTGAAAAGCGAGCCAAAAAATTAATAATAATAATAATAAAAAAAATAAACCACAAAAGCAAAACAAACCAAGGAAACACAGAAAACACAAGGTGGTTTTGAGTGGTGCTGGGCTTTGTCCTGCGAAACAGCTGGCCAGGTGTTCTAGGGTCTGGGGCAGCAGAACACAACCGAGCTCCTTCGGACACCTGTAAAAGTCCACGAGAGTCTTTCTATTACATTTAAACCGGTTCCAAATTTGGCCCAGGGGACTTAAGGTATCTTGCCAACCTAGGACAGCAAAACTGACCCTGCGTACTGTTAGATTTGGTCCTTTCACGCGAGTCTTGTCCCCTTCCCCGTGCTCCAGTGCCCACTCAAGCAAGTATGACGCAGATGCTACCTGAAGTCCATGGGCTGCCCCACCAGTCTGAATAAATTTATTCACATGCTTGATGTTTAGCATCATTTTAAAGTGCATGGCTGGAGCAGACTTTTAAATATCTGCAGGTTCAGGCCTGGAGACCGTGAGCTTCTAAGGCTGGGTGAGGAAGGCACATCTTGTGCAGGGCTCAGCTCCAGTTTCAAGCATGCCACTGTGATTTAAGAGATTTGGGGGGGGGATAGAGAAGGTTTGCTGCTGAGAGCTATGGCACAAGAGGTTCTAGCTAAAAGACAAAGCCAGAGCAAGCTTCTAGAGCTTGGTTTTCACCACCTACTATCCTATTGAGGCTTCTCAACATAAGAGTGACACCCCCAAGGGTGATTGGATATGCACAGTGAGCGATTCTTTGCGGCAGAGGTGTTTTGGCCCAGTTCCTGAGTTTAAAACCAAGTGAGGAAGAAAAACAAATGCAGAAGAAAAAAAAAAAAAGTGAGATGTTAGAAAGACGACTGAGTTGTCCTAAGACAACACTGAGCTACCATCATAGTATTCGCCTTCTTCATCAGCTGCCGAGGTTGAAGGACAGAAGCAAAAGAGAAGAAGCACAGGAGTCAATCCACAACCAGCTCTGTTCTCCTAAAAGCAACCGTCCCCACCCCTTGCCTGCTACGCTGGGAACCTCGAACTCTCCAGAGAGAGAACGAGAAGGAAAACCACCTTTCTAGTGATTTGATTTGGCAAACACCAAGCTTTTTTTCTCTGTGTTCATGCAAAGCCATCCAGAGAGACCTTTTCCCTCCCATCCTCTCTTTGCTCTTGACCAAGGTCAGTGTTTCTAACCCTGTTTCCCCAGTGCTGAAAAAGAAAAAGGGTGAGAGCCTGTAGGTGCATCACATACCTTCTTCAGGGGCTTCTTCTGCTGGTGTCATGGTGCAAGTAGTGGTGGAAAGACAGGAGGTAGGGAAAAAAAAATAAATAGATATTTAAAGTTCTTGGAAGCCTGAGAAAGAGACCAGGGAATGCATGAAGGGGGAAAAAAACATAAAGGAGGAAAAAATAAATTAAGGAATTAGTGAATTAAGGTAGGGAGAAAAGGTTCTGGAGAGGCTGTCAGGAGTTAAAGATGCTGTAAGGTTAAAGTAGTGGTAAGTGTGGAGATTAAAGGAGAAAAGGGCTGCAAGTGATTGTTGTGTTTAATAGCTGTCTTTCTTGTTTTGTTCTCTTCTACCAACCCAGGGCTCCTGTTCTCTCCCTCTCACAACCTCACATGTTGCAACTAGGTGGAGTAAATCAGAAGTCATCACATACCTGGCTCATGAGCTTCAGCTGCGAAGTGTCATGGAATGAGGTGCAATGGAAAATAAGAGAATGAGAAACCTGTTATTTCACACACCAAAAGAGCTTTTGAGCCAGAGGGGAGGAAGGGCAGAGAGGGGAACAACGCTGAGAAGGAAACCTGAGGTGAAATAAATCAATTACTCGTTGAAGGACAGGAGAGGAGAGGAATTCAGTCAGGCGATGATAGCACGAGGCTTAAAAAAAAACCCACCAAACTTCTGAGCGTTGTATGATGTAAAGCACACCCTGACAGCACAATGTCCCGCCGTTTACCTTGCTTGGCTTGAAATATGCACATGAACAGAGTCAGCACTCTCAAAAGCTCTATCGGATCCATCCTTTGCTACAGCAGGTTTTCAGTCATCTCAGACCAACACAGACACCTCCTGAAATACCTGCTGTAGCTCATCATCAACGTTCGGCTAACTTCCAAAGCAGCTCAGGTCTCTTTTTCCAGATCTATGGCTCAGGCCATTTTCTTCCTGGAAGGCAATTCTCCTCCCTAGATAAATCCACTGCTGTTCTTCGCGTCCGTTTGCAACGCGGAGTTACAAACGGATTACTTCACAGGAAGAAAAGGTTCATGAAAAGTCTGTGCGGGTCTACGTTTCATTCTTTGGTTTTCGTGGCGAAGCAGGAATCGACCAGCCATGCGGATCTGCAGGGCAGATTTGGCTTCGCAGCCGTACGCGCGCCGCTGACCATTTTGCAAAGCAGGCATAAAAGTAATGCAAAATCTCGCAGTACTTATATTCCCTGCGTACAGTCAGTGAGTCAAATTCTGCACTGAGATGTGAAACGCAGCTTTCAGTGCAGGGAAAATTTGTTCTCATATCACAGTGCAGAATTTAACCCATTTCACAGGGACACTTAGAGCTAATTCACAGTAGTATAGGCGTTCCTCTAGCTTTTAGTACAATTTTCGTGCAACGGTTAAGTTTCTTCCTCCTTACTGCTGATTGCGCTTTATGGAGGAGAAAAGAAAAATTAAATCAAAAAGTCAACCACCCCAAAAGCATGCAAGGTACAAGCTATCATTAACAGACAGGCTGTTCTCTCCTGTCACCGTGTATTCCCTTCCCACACACACCATCCCAGCAGGCAGACACCGGGGAGTTTAGAAGTTAAATCACATACCTGGAGGGGGGGCTTCATTTAGTAGGAAGTGTCAGGGGTAAAAGAAAAAATAAAAATAGGAAAGGAAGATAAAAGAATTAGAAATAAGTTATTCAGGAGGGGATCACCTCAACCTTTGGTAAGATGGGGTTGGAGGAGTATCATTTGCAGACTGGGTTATAGGGATGGGGTGTTAATAACAGTGGAAAAGGAGAGTAATTACAGTGGGGGGGGTGCCATAGAAATGAAAGAGAAAGGGCATTTGAATGTTGATGAATTCCAAGAGTTTAAGTCATGCAAATATATACACCAAGTGAGCAAACGTAGTAACACTGCTGATCCTTAAATGTGAAGGAAAACCTACCCCAAACCTGTTTCAGCTCTGCACATGCCCTCTCAGCTCTCAGAGCAGGTACAGGACCACGAGTGTCCATGCAGGGAAGCCCTGCTTTGGCTGTATCTCTCTGCAGCTCAGAGCTTCACCGCCTGAGAACCTCCACTGGCGGATTTCGGGCTTAAATCTGCAGAACTGGAAATATTTGTGTCTACCCAGGGCTTGTCTCTGCGAGGGGCAGCAGCTTGTGTTTCTGCAGCTCGGGTACCTGCGGTGTAGTCCCAGCCCTAAACGTTTGCAGGGGGACTAAAACGTTTCTTCTAAGCTTCTTAGAAGGTGATTTTTTGGTTAGAAACAACAATTACACCTTCCCAGCGAGAAAATAAATTTCAGGAATCTTACAAACGGATTGATTCTTCATGACTCTGGTTTGCTTTGACATCCTCAAATTTCTCTGTACAGGAGTGCTTCAGCTGAATACAGAGGAATTTGGGTGTCCCACGCGCGTGCTTGGTTAGGTTGAAAGTGTCAGCAAAGAAAAATAAAAGAATTAGAGCAAGAATCACACAACAGCAACAACTCCGAATTCATGCAGACCAATGCTGTGACTTAGATGATGCATTAATAACAGAGATAACATAAATGACATTAATAACAGCTATAAATAACATTAGTAACAGAGATATAAATAACATTAATAAGAGATAACATAAATAACCATACAGCGATATGAAAAGCTGGAACAGTCTCCTTCTGACATATAAGTTTTCTTTTCAGCTTGTTATATTTACATCATCTTTATAAACTTTCCTTTTTGTTATGCTTTATGTTCCAGAGGGAAAGGCAAACATGGGGAGGCTGTAAGTATGGCTTTATTGTTAATCAGATTACATTAATACCTGGTGTTCTGTATGAATTTCAAGCTTGAGACCGACACTGAAGAAGTGAGTAGCAGTTCAATAAATATGAGAAAAAAACAATAATGCAACAAAAAAGAGGTATAGAGGAAGGCAAAGGAGCTGGGGTGGTAGCAATGACTATTAATTTGTGCAAATTAAGGTCAGAAAAACCTTAGGAGCAGGTAACAGATACGAGTGAACACGGTGAAAAGGAGAAGGCAGCGAAATGAGAAGTGGCAAGGAGTGACATGAGAAGCAGCGCACAGAGGAATGGTCACGCTGAAAGGGTCAAGTCATTCAAAAATCAATCAGATGGTTTTCACTTCCCTCTCTTCAACCCTGGCAAAAACACCAGTTTCATCTCAACTAGGTGGCTGCTGCTCTCAGCTAAGCTCTAATAAAGCTACCCCAGATAGCACAGAATAATTTTCACCGTTTAGAGGACACTGCAAGCTCAGTTTCTGCTTTTCCAGGTAATAACGATCCCATACGCAATGTAAGGCTGGCTCCGAGTCCAGTCAGTGGTTATTATTACAGTTTATACTTAGAGATATTTTTTTCTGAAACTGTTATTACATTTTTCATGCAACCGTTAGCTCTAATCCTTGTTACTACGCATCACAGAGCGGAGGAAATGATTACTGGTGGAAGGTGTAAGGAAGCTGCAAGTTACAGGTTTATCATTAATATTTGATTTTTGTCTGTTTTCTTCCACCATATTTGAATTCCTGAGTATAATATTAGAGTTACCGGTATCATTTTTTGAGAGAAATCATACCTTCAATTAAATTTCATTATTTCAAAATTTATGTAGATTTATCCAGGATTTTGGTAAAAAAATAAAATAGAAAGAGTTTCACAGCCTTAAAAGGTTGCAGAGATATTAACATCTCTAGAACAAAGGATTTTTAGTTTTCATTCCAGATTTCTTCTTGCATTACAGTATATATATAACCCCACATTTCCCATGAAGTCAGTGCTTCAGAAGCAGCTAAAAGAGGATTTTCATTTCAAAATTTGGAAATATTCCACAGATGAAAGCAAAAAAAAAAAAAATTAAGTGGTGAAACAAAATGTTTTGTTTCAACTAAATTATAAAAAATAATTTTCAATAGCTGCCAAACAAGGTGCTCCTCCTTTTTTTTGCTGTTGTTTATTTGAAAAGTTTCCATTTCGCCCCGAATCAGAACACAACCCGATTGGGAAATCGCCAAATGCAATTGAATTTCCAGCACGCAATAACCCTTTAGATTGACGCAGAGGAATTCAGAAGTCACATACCTGGTTCATGGACTTCTTTAAGAGGGAAGTATAGCAGGGAACGAGATGCAAAGAAAGATAAGAGAATTAGAGCAAGAACAGCATGATTAAAAAACCTGACACTTTTTTTTTTTTTAGTCAGGGTGGAGGGGTTAAAAGGGTAAAAACCATTAATAAGATTAAAAGAGAAATAGAGGGCACGTAGGAATGTCAATTAGAAAACCGCGTAGCCTTCGGTTGACAAGAAGGTCCATTCCCCATAGGTTTGACTGTACAAAAAAAAAAAAGGGTGTAGGAGAACCCGTTCTCATTCATGTGCATAGAAATCCCAGCCTCTGCGGGAATCAATGGGCTCGGAGGAGCTGGCATTGATTTCCCTCAGCGCCCAGGATTTCGCCTGGCGTCACCTGGTGATTGTGACCTGGTGCCACCGCCGTGGGACACGTCAACGTGTCACTCCAACCCGCAGGATAAAGCGCCCGACAGAAGCCGAGCTGGAGGAGGGAGGGAGGCTGGAGGGCAACGGGAAGGTAAACGGGCTTGGGCTGGCAGGATGATGCTTTAGTAAGCACGACCTACTGTTTTGCTAACCTGACTAGATCTGGGCTTGACCTGGCGTTATAAAACACACAGTACCCCCAGTACCAACTGGTATCTGCACCAAGAAGCCTGGTTAGAGACAGCAGAGCGCTGAGCAACACATAAGCAACGGCCAGCCTGCGCTTCGGGTTTATTAGTACTTATAGTACTCATTACTCATCACGCCACTTATCCTACGAGAGCGAAGCAGGTATCAGCAGAGGATATTTTTTGCATCTTCTCCTCTTCAACCACCTCCGGAATTCCTGCGTGTGTTAGTTACTGCTCCAGCCCGAGACAGAGGGATTTGCGAGTCACGGCACATACCTTCCTCATGAGCTTCAGCAGGTGGGAAGAGTCGCAGAGCAAAATGCAAAAGGGAAGGCGAGAGCGTTAGTAGCGTCAGAACAACTTCTCCAACAAAATCGAGGGGGGTTAGGAGAACATATATTGCAAGGAAATACAATGAGTATGGATATGCAAAGCGCTGCTGGAAGTAAGTTTTCATACTTTTTTTTCTTTCCCCATGCAGCAATTACCACGTAGCATCGCCAGCGCATTCAGTGGCAAGACAGAACATGATGGAAGCGAGTACAAAAAACAAAAGCGGCAAGTTTTATTCGGTGTTAATGTGCCTATTTTTAACTCCCGTTTCCTTTTACCATCTTAAGGTTTGCCAGCTAAAACAGAGCTGTCCTCTGAAGGACAGGGATTCAGGAGTTGTGTGACATACCTTCCTCCTGAGCTTCTTTAGGTGGGAAGAGCCACAGGACAGGATGCAAAGGAAGATTAGGAGAAACACATTGTTACAGGAGCTGATATTACACAGGCTGAACCCTCTGTTAAACCAGGAAAAGTTTTACCCCAGTCAAGGATGTGCTAATGGCTGGGGGAGGGAAATACAGGTTGGGAAATAACTTGACCATGCGAAGAGGCGAAAACCGATTGAAGAAGGAAAATCTCACAGTGAGCTCAAGTAAGACATGCTGAAATTTATCTCTAGTCGAAGTTTTAGAGAAACAGCCTCCTGCCATTGCTTTAGGGCGAGCTCCGGGCACGGCAGGAGGAGCAGAGGGGCTGGGTTGCCACCAAACGAACTTCGGCTGGACCTCGCACTGAGACCTTTCCCATGGTTTAGCCCTCGGCAGAGCCAGTCTCAGAGGAGAGGTACAATGCGATGACAACCAAAACAATAAGGCAAAATAACTGGGTCCTGCTCCTCTCACACCACCCCTGAATCTCCCACCACCACCACAACGGAGATGGTGGGGAGCGATTCGGGAGGTGATGGCTCAGACCTGCTTCATGAGCTTTGTCAGGCGGGACAGGGAGCAAGAGCAAAGAGGTGGAAATCAAGAATGGTTAGGCTACAGAGGGTATGAATGCAACAAGGGGGTCTAAAATACACGGAGGAAGAAATGTTCTATGATGAGGGTGGTGAAACGTTGGTACGGGTTGCCCAGAGAGGTGGCAGATGCCCCATCCCTGGAAACGTTCAAGGTCAGGTTGGACGGGGCTCTGAGCAACCGGGTCTAGTAGAAGGTGTCCCTGCTCGTTGCAGGAGGGTTGGACTAGACGAGCTCTAAAGGTCTCCTCTATCCAAAAAACATGCTGTGATTCTAAACAGAAGGGCAGAGGAGGAGACGAAATGGAGACAGGCAACCAAAGCACACACAGGTACCGAAAAGGTAAATCCTTCAGGACCTGGATGCTCTGAAGACCCTGCAACCCGCTCAGAGCGGGTCTCCCCCATTATAATCAGGTTTACCCTTGCTTCAAGGGAAAGCCCGAAGCTTTGAAAATTTGGAACCAAGCCCTCCCCTTTGGCTCCTCGTACCACATCCCAACCCTCTCAAGGTGGGTTTCTGTTCCACCCCTTCTTTCTCCCTCAACTTGCAAATGCTGCATGCAGCGTGGGGAGCTGCCTGGGGTCACCTGCCAGCGCCTCCAGAGATACAATTAATCAGATCTGCTTTCTGCAGCAGTATTAATTATATAGAATATGATATATTATAGTTATAAACGTATAATATATGCAATATACTATATATAATACAGCATATTGTTGAATATGCACGACGTGACATATGGCTGCACACATTCGCTCCCATGGATGGGTTTTGCTTTCCAAAAAGAAAAATATATCACATCATTTTGATTTCAAAATCCATCCGATCATTGTCTGCCAAGCTACGTAGGAGAAACCAGTTGATACCTTGGTAGAACCCTTTCTGGCTCAAGCCCAGTGATCACACAGCGGGTGTTACAAATACCCAGAGGCTAAAAAATATAAAATAGCCTCGGAGCCTGGCTGAGATGAAGGGAGGGGGTGGAAGCCGTTTCACGTACCTTCTTCTTGAACCTCTTCTGCAGGTGGGAAACGTCACACAGCAATGGAAACGGAGAGAGAATTAAAATGAAAAATAACTTATTGCAATATTCTTAGGATTTGCCAAGCCATTATGGGTAAGGAGAGAAACTAGTGGAATTACAGGGCACGAGAGAATTCAAAATAATGTGGTTTCTTTATGGGCATACTATATACTTACTGAAATATGGGCGTATGACCACAAAAGAAAACCACATTTAAAAAAGGCATCCAATATTTTATTCTTTATTAGAGCTGGCTAATATTTCTTAAAATATTTCTTAAAACCAGCTTCTGCTAAATTTTTAACCAAAAAAAAAATTGCTACGTTTCTTTTCTTTTAAATCTTTTTCACAAACGGCAAAAAAAAAAAAAATTCACCAACCTTTTTACCTGGTTTTGCAATTTCAAAAGAAATTCATTCCTGAATTTCAATAAGTGGATATAAACTTTGCAGGGTGTTCCCCTCCTTTTTGAAAAGTTGAGCTTTTGGAAAGGAGGGGGACTTGACATTGTTGTAGGTGACCAAACAAAAAGAAGTCAAAGAGTTCAGTGAAATAGGTAGACCAACCCGAATATATCTATAGCGCTATATATATGTTTCCATACATATATGCATATACATATACATAAAAGTTATATGTATGTATTTTACTATATAAAAATATATATTAAAT